GCACCAGCTGAGGCGATGAAGAACGATGTTTATGTGGAATTGCAGATTGCTGCTGGAAGGTTACTGGGATTAGTGAATAAAAATCCAAAAGATGGTGTGCAGCCTGCGGAATGTGCATTTTCTGAAGTGTCTTATGATGAGTTCATTTGGAGCGATCCTTCAAATATCTCTAAGTTGGTTGCATCAGAGGAGGCAGAGTTGGCGAGGAGGAAGTTCAAGCAGATGGTGGCTGATATACCCTCCTTTAGCCTTGGCATCACACAGGATGGTGCTTTGCAAGTAAGTGGTGATCACCATGTGGTTGATGTTGGTAATTGCAGCAACAGTCCATTTACCCCTGTGCTTGGAGTTAGTAATGTGAATCAGGAACTCGCCAATGCTTCGAATGAACCGAGAGGGTGTGGTGAACCTGGAACTAACTTGCATACGGTGTGTAATGTGTTAATTAATGTTTTCGTGTATGCATGACTTTTCTATTATGAATGAGTGTAATAGACAATGTTTTTGATCACTTTTTCTTTGCATTTTAGAAAGGTGGGGAAGCATGTGGTCAAGGGTCTGCCAGTGCTGCCATAAGAAGACATGATACATCAGTAGTATGTGTATTATTTGAATTTTGATTATTAAATTAGATGAATGGGTGTGATGGTAGTTGGTATATGCACAGGTCAACGAAAATGAAGAGGGCATGATGGATAATGTTTTGGGAGAGGCACTGCCTTTCAAAAGTGTGAGTGTAATAGTTAATTGGTTCAATTTTTTTGAGCATTCTGACTAATTTTTATTGTGTTAAAATGGTCATTTAGTATTGGAGTCCTAGTGAATATGTAATGAAACTGCTATGTTAATGATGTCTAGGAGGTGGAAAAGCAAAATGAACAGCTGAAACCCGCTCGGGTAATTAAACCAGCAGAATCTCTACGGTCTCCGTACGTGACAAGAGCAGTGGATTTGAATGATGGTTTGAGTACTGTGGAAAAGAGATTGGGGAGATGGATCTTTAAAAACAGTAGTGCTCCAAGGTATGATGTAAACAACGGTGCGAATGATGTTTTTTGTGTCTAAATATGTAATAGCTAGATGTTTATTTGTTCAATGTTCTCTACATTCGCAGGGAGGAAGTTGTTTTTAAAAAGGGTAAGTTTTGGTTAAGTAGAGAAGATATTTGTAGTCTGGACATATTGAAACACATTTCAAAGAAGGTGTTGGATGCATGGTGTGTGATTTTAAAGCCAGTGCTCTACAGCTAGTGCGGTTGGAAACACGACGCCGAATCTTTTTCTTACCATTTGGGGTGCTCGCAGACATACTGGGAGCATTGCTGGAGAGCTGAGCAGCGTGTTTATGACCTTCACGACTGCATAAAATATACTTCCATACATTTACACCATCCGGAGACTTTGTAGACGTATCCAACCGAATGTCAAAACCTGCCAAAAGCGCGTAGTTCTTGTAGAACGAAATCCCATCTTCAAGCTTCTCAAAAATCATTCCCACTTTGGGCTTAGAATCTGCTGGGCATTCTGGGATGCATATATTTGGATCAAAAAATGATATTTCTTCGGCATTTTCTTCCACTAATGTATTCGTATATCCCCCTATGCATAAAAAATAAAAATTTCACCAACAAATTTCACCAACAATAAAAAATTTCACCAACAAAAGTGAAGAATGCACAAACATTTCATATAGTACAATTGCAGAACCAGGAAAATATGTTCCAAATAATTATTTTCCTACAAATTTATTTTCCAAAATCCAGAAAATTGAATTGGTCGGGCTGGTACCTGCGTCCATGGCTGAGGGCTCCGTCATTGCAGTGAAGATTCAATGCTGTACTGATCAAGGGATTCTGAAAGCCCTTCCTTCCGTAGGATACAATATAGGAATTAATATTAATGGAATCCATACCTAAAAGGAAACGGAAATCTGGAAGATGGAATGGAAGGTAAATTAGGCGAGAAAAAACAGGGTAAGTGGTGAGATGTCCGGGAGTTGAAACGTAGAGGTTGTAGAAGGAAGGAGATCTAGAAATACTTTTATGCCCCTCAGCGGAAGTGGAGATCTTAGATCTGCAGATGACGATCCGACGGCCTATATTTATTCCTACTTCTTTCATTAGATTCTATTCTCATTTGAACCAACTTCTATATATATATATATATATATATATATATATATATATATATATATATATATATATATATATATATATATATATATAAACTATATCAAAAATTTTATAAAACAAGAGACAACAAAAATATTTTATTTTATCAAATAATCAATCAAAATGCACAAATAAATAAAAGTTTCTGTAATTTTTAAATAGTGAAGAGTATAATTCTTTTTGGGAGGTAAAAAATACAATACTCCGTATCATATATATGCATGTGCACACGTATGCACCCTCTATTTTATTCCATCTAACAATGGTACCCCAAAGTAATTGGTATTTACATGCACCAATTACAGTAATTGGTGTAAATATTAATGTGCTCCCGGCCTCGCACATGCGAGACTTAGGGCTGTCAACGAAGTAATTGGTATTTACATGCGCCAATTACAGTAATTGGTGTAAATATTATTGTACCCCGAAGTAATTGGTATTTACATGCACCAATTACAGTAATTGGTGTAAATATTAATGTGCTCCCGGCCTCGCACATGCGAGACTTAGGGCTGTCAACGAATAGTCGAAAATCTGATTATCGTCTGCATCCGTATCCGTTTAAAAAGGAAATATCCGCATCCGTTTTAAACGGATATTATCCGTATCCGATTAAGGATATCCGATTACTAAACGGATACGGATTTGGTAATTGTATATCCGATCCGTTTAAAATCCGATCCGAATATGCATCCGTTTAAATAACCGTTTATCCGAATATCCGATCCGTTATATATAGTTTTTCTTAATTTTTTATGTTTATAATTTGTTTCTCTATTGATATTTTAAAATATAAGACATTTTTATATACAAAATAAATGTGTAGACACATAAAAATATATACAGACACATAAAAATATGTGTATATGTGTGATGTGTATATCTTTTTATCATATGAAGTTATCGTAGAAGATCATAAATCATGAAAACAAAGAAAATAATTATCTCATACCAAATTATTGTTGATTTAATAGTAGTTTGACTTTAATCTAATTTAAAATCAAAGTATTGTTTAATTTGATTTTAAAAATTGGAAACAGATACGGATATATCCGATATCCGACCGATATCCGACGGATGCGGATACGGTTTTGATTTTCAGTATCCGTCAAGATCCGTATCCGAATTCGATATCCGACAAAAATAAACGGATACGGATTTGGTAATGGCACATCCGATCCGATTAATATCCGTTTACACCCCTAGCGAGACTCGATCGTGGCCTAGACAAGTTGACTTGCCTGCTTGGCTCATGGGTCACTTATCGGGTCGGGTTGGGTCTGTTGGGCTCCTATCACGGGCCTAGACGTGCATATTGGACTCACATTACTAATAATAATCATTGATCGGATAGAGGCCCACCACGCAGAGGATAAGGACTCATAATGAAGGAGGGCTCAAAAACGGCCCACGAAACCCACACCGGGCATACGTCTCTCGGGCCCCGATGAGATCAACCGTCGGGACCGAGCGCACCAAGACCCAACGGGCCAGAGGCTGGGGGAAATGGAGAATATCACTTGCGCTCATTCATCCACCGATTACCAAACAAGACCCATCAATAATTGATACTCAAATACTCCGTATTAATAAGTACGGAGTATAATTTATTGTGTGTGTAGACGCATTGCATGCACTCGTTTCACGCTATAAGTATTATTTAATCATGTGTAAAATTCATTATGTTATTTCACAAAGTTTATAGAATATTCAAAAAAATGGAAGATGTGGAATAAAAATTTATTTTAGAAGAGAGAGATGAGATTTTGAGCTATTTTATTTTAATTTTTTTAAATAGGAAACAACGCTTAATTACCTCTTTGAATAATTACAAACGGCAAATTTGTTAGGATGACGCAGGGGCGGGCGAGTTCGAAACGTATTGGGCCGAAAAATCTATTTAGACGTAAGATCAGGGGCAAAATGGTAAATAGATTAGATAATGTGTGTAAATATGGCAAACTTGGCCATGCGCATATGTTTGGTTTGCAGGTTTTAGTTACAGGAAGAGTCTTGGTTTGTTTCAAGTCTCCAAAATGCCCCCACACCTTTTCATTTTCCCTTTGAGTGCACGATTCATATTTTAGTATATATATGACGTAATAATTTGAAACGATAACCTGCGATGTTACCCCCTCTTTCAATCTCCACCCAATTGTACCTAGAGTACACCAAAATGAAGTACTCTATTTATATTTATATATCAGACAAATATAGACACTTAATAAATGTGATTATAGACATTAAATGTCTGTGTATGTCCACTGTATAAGTTGGGTAGTCCATTTTGGGGTACCCTTGCATGGTCCATTGTAACAAAAAACTACTCCCTCCGTCCCCCTGTATTTGTCCACATTTGACTTTTGGAACTGTTCATCTAAGCACTTTGACTCATCAAATTCTCTCAATGTGTAAGCCTAAATATAGTCATGTGTGATCTTGTTTGATTTGTCTTAACATATAGATTATTAATATATAATTTTTATAATTTTTTAATATACAAATTACAAGATAAAATGGATTAAATAAGTGCATTGGATGGTGTGTAAAAATGAAAGTGGACAAATACAGGGGGNTACTCCCTCCGTCCCCCTGTATTTGTCCACATTTGACTTTTGGAACTGTTCATCTAAGCACTTTGACTCATCAAATTCTCTCAATGTGTAAGCCTAAATATAGTCATGTGTGATCTTGTTTGATTTGTCTTAACATATAGATTATTAATATATAATTTTTATAATTTTTTAATATACAAATTACAAGATAAAATGGATTAAATAAGTGCATTGGATGGTGTGTAAAAATGAAAGTGGACAAATACAGGGGGACGGAGGGAGTAATCAATACCATTTTTAGACCATTTTTCTTCCCCAATGTTTAGTTCAGACAATTTAGAAGGAAAAATAGTAGGAAATATTTTTTAATGAGGTTAGAAATGAAAAAAAGGAGAAGGAAAAAAAGGAAATACGATTTGTTTTTTTATATGCGATATTTATAGGAAAAAATGAGAGAAAACAACAAGCTTAGTCTCTCGTGCACCCTCCCCATCTTTGAACAATGTCTTCTTTTAGACAATCGAGAAATAAAAAATTGGAAAGAAAAAACAATTTTGGTATTTGATTAGAAATGAAAAGAATAATAAAAATAAAATTAGAAATTTTATTTTTCTAAATGATGTGGGTCTTGAGGATTCAAAGGCCCAGAACATACGTGGTTCATAATGAATTAAATTTATGTTGTATAAACTAATTAAATTTTTTTACATATATACATAGTAAAATAATTTTGTTAAATCGATAATTAATAATGAATCAAATTTAGAATTTTTTAAGCTTTTATTTTTTAATACACACACACTATAAATAAAAAAACATGGGGTGCTTAAACAAAATGAGCCCAGTCCGGTAGGGATGCTCGGCCCTGCTTGTACCCCACACCTACCCTCACCGTCTTTGAACAATATCTTCTTTTCTTTTCTCTACAATAAATAACCAAATAAAGAAATTATTGAATCAATTCCCCTACTAAGCAAATAAAATTAAGCCTATGTTTGGCTCATGGAATTTAGTAGGGAAAATAAGAAAAATGGTATAAAAACAATAATTTCTTGTATGCTTAATGAATAAAAGAAATTAAAGAAAAGTGGAAGGGAAAAAAAATTAAGGAGAAGTGAACTGAAAAAAGAAAAATAAAATAAGTTTCCGTTTAATTTGGTGAAAAAAATTAAGAAAAAATACATAGTGGTCACAAAATTTCCATTTTATTCATTCTTACCCCAATTTCTCTCCCTCCCTTTATGTATTTTCCTAACGGCATTTTATCCGTGCCAAACAGTATAGGCACGGAAAATTTAAAACTATGTCCGTGCCCAAATCCGTGTTTTTTAAGAAGCGTTGGACTATGGATCTGTTTGACAACAACTTCAACATTTTGAAAATATTATCTACTCCGTAATTTTGAATCATAGTGAGGGCATATATGTCATTTGCTTCATTTAAAAAAAACAAATATAGAATTGTGAAGTTCCTTGTGAGGCATCCAATCTTTTTAAGACAAAGGGTGTATTGTTTGCAAGTTGCAACTTGCAAACAATATAAGGTTCACAGATGCAAGTGCACAAACTAAATACTAGTATCTAATATTGATCTTCCCTTCCAATAAAACATATCATCAAACCGATCTTTCGGTTTAAGTATTTCCATTAAAACAGCTCCGAGTTAAGATAGTTCGAACGTAATTTGTAAACGATGTCTCACCTTAAACTTAAAATTTCATCTGAAAACGGATGACTCGAAATCTAAATCCTATTAAGTATTAACCCCAACTAGAGGATAACAAACAATGAGGTAGACAAGAAAGTGAGAGAACTTATAAGTCTTCAAAAGAACCAAAAAAAATTACTCAATGGATAACATGGTAACTATATCCTCCAAACAATGTTGGTGTTAGTGTTAGTGTAAGTGTTAGGTTGACACCGAAACCGAAATAGTTGCAGACACCATTGCCTCAAGCCCAAACACATCACATACACTAGCAAAACAAGAACAAGAAAAACATAAAAGCAAGCTAAGTAAATGAAAGAAACATACTCTGCAAGACTTCAGATGGTGGCATTCCTCTGCAAGACTCTGGCTTTCTCTGCATCAATGATGGCCTCCACCAGCTTCACCGAACTGTCGAGCTCCCCTTCTCGGTTCACCACGACGTAATCAAACTTCTTGAGATGCCTCACCTCCTCCCTCGCCGTCGCAATCCTCACCAGAAGAGTGTCCCTCGTCTCTGTCTTCCTCTCTATCAATCTCTTTACCAATGCCTCCTCGCTCTCTGCAACCAAGAACACGAATACTGCACTGTTCCCCAGGATCTTCCTCAGGGTTGCTGCCCCCTGTATGTCCACCCTCAGCACGATGTCGCACCCTTTCCCCATGAATTCCCTTATCTGCTGCTTGGGAACCCCCTTGTAGTCTCCATAAACCAGCGCGTACTCCAGAAGCTCGTCTCTTTCAATCATGGAGAGGAACTCCTCTTTGGTCAGGAAGCAGTAGTCTTTTCCGTCCACTTCCCCTGCTCGTTTTGGCCTGCTGGTGGCTGTGACGACGAAGTGGATGTTGGGTTTCACTTCCCGGAGCCGTTTGATGACCGCGTCCTTGCCGACGCCGCTGGGCCCGCTGATCACGATGATTAGAGGGTTAGGGTTCGGAGCTGTGGGAGAGGAGCTGAATGGAGACCCCAGCGCGGCCTCCAAAGCGCGGAAGACCTCCTTCTTGTCCGCCTTGTCAGGGGAAGGAATATGAACCGCCTCCGGTCTTCTGGCGTGGCTCATCTGCGAGGTTGAAGAAATGAGGCGGCGAATCGCCGGAATCTGCGTCTGGAACCTGTGATTCAAGAGTCTCGTCGCAGCGAGGGGCCTCGGGTTCCGACCCGAACACGGGAAAGGGTTTGTGAATTTCCGGCGAAGGAGAAGCGGGCTAGGGTTAGGGTTTGCTAGAATCGTGCAGAGCCTCCGATGTAACATCGGTATCTGCACCGCGGCGGGGTGAAAAAAAGGAGGACGTATATGTAACTCCGGTGATTAGTCGCCGGCTAAACGGGGGGTCGGAATTTGAAGAAAATGGAGCTGATTTCGCCGGCGATTGGATGGACAGATATTGTACATCCGATCAGAACCGGGGCGGGTCATTACAAATTGGGCCTAAGAGCCCAATTATAGGATTATGAAAACAGCCCAACCTTATCCGACCTTAATCGCCATCGCCTGTGTTGTTCGAGAGCAAAGGATTCGCCGAGCGAGAGGCTTCGCCGTCTCGCAGAGTCCCAGCCCTCGCCGAGAGCCTTCCTTCGCCGTCAGTCCTACTGCCCAGCGCCGACTGCCTAGTCGCACACTGCCCAGCACCGAGTCGCCGACTCCCTCAATCCCAAATGAATCAGGTACGGTACTGAATTTAGGGTGGCTGTTTCAAATTCTCAACACTTTCAAGTTTCAAGAGTGGCTGCCATTTATTCCAATTCATTTATGTTCAAATGTCCATTAGTGACAGTGGAGAGCAAACTTTATTCCGTCTTTTTTACTCAAATTTCAAGTTGCAATACATTAAAATGTATGAAATGTTTGCAACTTTTTTTTTTTTATTTTTAAAACTGTTCAAATTGAGGTGTTGCAAAGTGATTTATACGGAGTACATTGTTTTTTTGTTGTCCCTTAGGTTAGGGTCGGTCCAATCGGTGTGGACCGATTCGGTCTTTAAAATTTTGGTTCGGTCTGGTCCAAGACCGATACCATTTAGGTCCGGTCTTCGGTCCTACATTTGATCTCGTTCGGTCTTCGGTCCGGTCCGGTCTTAGACCGATGAACACCCCTAGTGCAATTAGGGTTTCAGTTTTCCAGAGATTAAGAAAAATTCAAAATTCTTGATTCACTGATTAAAAGTTGCCATCTTTCTGGCAATATTGTGTTTAAGAGGTCCAAATTGTGACATGTATTTGTGATTCTTGGGACGAATTTTCTTTCTTGGTTTTTAAAACTCATACTGCGCATATGATGTTAGGTGTAATGGGACTGAGAACTGTTCATCTTCTTCCTCAACTGGGTTTGAACCAGAAATTTGAATTTCCCAAAAACCAGACCAAACACTTGAGCATATCTCAAGTCTCTTCTTCTTCTTCTTCTTTGCAAGTTGTGTGTGGCTTGAGAAATAGGGCGAGAACGCCCTTGTGGAAGTCAAGGTTGTTGTCCACTGAGGCAATTCAAGCAGTTCAGTCTATGAAACTAGCCGCAGCGACACCTGATGCATTGGACCGCGTTTTCAAGACCCGAGTGAGCAGACTGCTGAAACGTGATCTGTTGGATGCCCTGGCTGAGTTGCAGAGGCAAAATGAAGTCGAATTAGCCGTCAAGGTATTATCACTATTATTGTTATTATTAAAATTATGACACCCAAATTAAAGAATTATTGGGATTTCTCTTTTAGTCTGAGTCTAATGATTTTTCTTTAGCATTTCTTCAATCCCGCATGAAACTATATCTGAAATGCCTTTAGGGTCTATATAGGTCTTCAATCAAGCTAGGAAAGAAGTCTGGTACGCACCGGATCTTTGTATGTACAACGACATGTTAAGGATGTTGGGGAAGAACAAAGCGGTCGAAGCAGTGGAGATGATGTTTTGTGAACTGAGGAAAGACGGGTTAGAACCAGACACGCGGGCATACACTGAGCTGATGGGAGCTTACTTTAAGGTGGGTATGGTAGAAAAGGGAATAGAGACATATGAACTGTTGAAGGAATCGGGTTGTGTACCTGATAAGCTGGCATTGGCAATCATGCTGAGGAACCTTAAAGACACCAAACATGCAAAAATTGTCAAAAGAGTGAAGAAAGATTGCCAACTTTACCTCGACTACCCCGAGGAATTTCTCCAAGAAGTCGAAAGAAAATATGTGAGTGCATTTATATTCAATACTTGTTATATATTATTTTATTTATAATGTCTACGTACACACATCCTCCCTTGACCTTGCTTTTGTTGTTTTAATTAATTAGTGGAACAAATATACATTTTTTTCTATTTTCTATTATTAAAACTTTTTATTTTATTTACCATTTCTCTTAGGTGTTATAATATGGTGTTATAATATGACACCAAGTCTATTTGAGGGCTCTACGTTGCTCTGGTCGATTCTGAAGTGGTTTCTAGCCCTCTATCTCCCTCGACCCCCAAAAAATATATATATAGTTTTGACTGTGCATTGTCACTCACATGGGGTGAAGGGGGCAGACTAGGGGGGTAGGAATCACTTCAAGGATTGAATGGAACATCGCAGAACCCATCAAATGACCCACTGTGCGAGTGTTAAGCGCGTTTTTCATTGTCATTGCGCAGCCAAAGCGTATGCCCCTTACCATTGTGTGAAGGAAGAAGACTCGTGTACATAGTTGGGGTTGACTATGGAGTATCATCACATTTTCGGCTGTTTTTCAAGGCGCAAGAGATGTGAGCTGTTGCAGCATGAGAGATATAGCATGGGAAAGGTTATCCAATTCAAGGCATAATATGCCCTTTTCTCCAATGGAAACTGCAACTATGTTATTAACAAATGTATAGTTTTCAGAGATGAAGTTGGGACTTCTTAGAACAAAAGTTCACAAGACAGATATGTTTGAGTCTCTACCATGGTCAAGTGTTGTAATGCCAATTAATCATATCACATTTTATTACTTTATAAATTCTAAAAATAACACTTGGGTTTTATACCTAAGTCTACGTCTCCATGTTTGTTCGGCATCTAACCAATTCGACGTGAAAGCCTAACCCGTATGGATGAAAAATGTACCCCCAAGCTTGTGTAACCTTTTTTTTGGAAGCATACACTTGTGTAACCATAATTTCACTATTTTCTTTTTTTTTTTACCCCTTGGTCTTGGAATAGGGTTACACATTTAACCAAACAGAATCTTTAAAATGTAAAATTGTGTAATTTAAATTAATGCAGAAAGAAAGAGAAATGATAATGTTCTCGTTAAACTCAATAATTTGTAATTTATTCTAAGGCATAACTTCAACCAATACAGTCCAAGATAGCCCACAAGCATTTCCAACCAGAAACACTTATTCATAATCCAACTCGAATTGATGACTTCTGCCACGGCAAGGTGGCATTCTACCACTGGTTATTATGTACTTGTTCTCTTCAGCTTATCCAATTAGTTTTGATCAGATTTGATTATGTTCTAATTTGATCTGATAATACTTATATTTTAAAATTATTTCTGATCTGATTTTTATAAGAATAAACAATAAGTAAAAGAGATAAGTTGAAGAAAACAAACTCTATATCCCTATTGAGCACTTCAAAAAGGATAATGGAACTAGCGAGGAAGACGAATGAGGTATAAACACAACCCCAACCTCGAAAGTTAATGAAGGAGAGCAAATTACTTTGAGAGGCACACAAGAATTGACAGATGAAGAGATTAAGGCTGCATTCTGTTCGCCTAATATGATCTAATTTTTTGAAGATCTAATCTGGTCTGGTCTGATCTGATTGTAATTATAATTAAAGTTGTTTCTGATCTGATCTAGTGTAATCTGTTCTGGTCTGGTCTGATTATAATAAGAATAAGTAATAAGCAACAAAAATAAGTTGAACGGAACGCTGCCTAAGAATCATAAAATAAACATATGTATATTCAAATGTCCAACTAACTATCAAGATTTATTGCCATGTAATTTTGACATGTATATATATATATATATCCTTTAAGAAGGAGAAGAAATGTTCATGACAACGAGTATACACTGGGGTGTAGTTTTTTTGAAGAAAGCCTTTGGATGTACCATTGGGTAAAGTTAGAAGACAGAAAAGCAGCAGCATTGTAAGAGGGAATGAGTCCTGAAATCACAAAGGCAACAGCAACTGCAGGCAGAAAAGATCCCAAAGATGCATCATCCATGGCAGCCGGCAGCTAGAGATGGTCTCTACCATTAAGACCCATACTACTCCTGCACACAAAGGGCATTAGTCGGTCACACAGTGCTTCAATGCAATAAAATGTTAAAACTATCTCCGTCCAAAATAGGGTCATGTCCAAATAAGGTACAAAACCCTTTAATTTTAGTCAAAGCAATCAACTTACAGGCTTATACAAATTATGAACGGTCAGTCATAGATATAAAACCTGTTTTCAAGATTGTTTGCATTAATTGACTAGTCCAATTGACTAAAGACATTTCAGAGTACTTCTTGGGTTACCAGATGCTTATCAGATAGTTATAACTCGATCCTCCCAATATTAGAATATGACAAGTGTTTAGGAACAATCAGACCACAAGTTCTTATCTGAAATCTAATAGACCAGTTCACAAACTGTGGGTTGATTACTTAAAGACAAGTAGTTTATTTTTTCATTTTCTAAAAAGGAATTTGCGAGTAGTTTAAAGTTCTACTGTATAAATTAACCAAGGTTCACAATCCTGAAACAAGGACTGTGAAAGATAAACCAGCTATATTAGTTGATCACTTTGATGTCTAAGAACCGAACTGAAGTCCAAGCCAAGCATGCTTGAATTTCATTAAAGTCAGGCGTAAGGAACGCAAGATAAACGTTCACAAAAAATAGAGATCTATGATGTGTGTGTGCAGTTGTGTAATGTATAAAATCACATTATAACCAATTTTAATACAATATTATGTTGCTAATGCAGCATTTGAAAAAAAATGAACTACAAGAAAGACATCTTCATAGAGAGATTATTGTGGGCCCCATCCAGGTTCAACCAAAACTTTGGGGCAAAACTTCAATTGAGTAGAACCAAAGCTGATCAGCACATATTTATTTCTCATTAGACATTGATTGAGGAATATTTGATCAGTGCATATTTATCTCTCTTTGTACATTGACTGAGGAATAAACTTAGACAACATTCCTCACAAAAACAAATTTAAAAATTAACACCATTTATAAATCAATTTAATAGATTCAGCGTAGAGTTTCATACTCTAATATTTAATTCTTTGAGATATAAACTACATAAAAGTACTTTAAGGACGAAGTCTCTAACTCAAAAAAATAAACAAATATGCCTTGAAAGTTCATCATGGTCTGAATGTGTTTGCTATTAAAAAGTGTACTGGGGTGCATCCTTTTTGGGTAGAGGAATTTTTATTTTCATAGTATTTTATATAACTGATAATCTGATATCCAACAGTTGAGAGTCACTCTTTCTTGATGGGAATTAGAAATGAATAATGAAAGGCCGGCTTTGGAAATACTAATATTTTTTATAATTACAGCAAGCTTTCCTTCCATAGTTTATCATTGATACTTGATTGATCAACTAGTTTGTCAGAGGTTATTGATTAGTGAAAAAATGACTTGCTCTGAAGTATTACTTAATAAAATGACATTTTCAAATAGCTCTTGATCTAAAATAAGACCTGATAAGAGCTTGAAATCTTATTTTCATTGATATCATGACTATATACCATAGTTATTAAAGGGGTGCATGAGTTTTGAAGAAAGCATGGGCAAAACAGTTGAATTTTTTCCTAGTCTTGAACACACATTTGACAAGTTACTTTGTTTGTGCTTCTGTATTTCAGGACTTTGAGCGAGGGGTCTCTTGGAAACAGTTTTTCTACCCCGAATAGGGGTAAGGCTTGTATACGCACGCGGCACGCCCTCAATGAACCCTATGTTTTGTGTGATTTTAGTGGGTTTGTTGTTGAAAAAAAGCACATAACCTAAACATGACTTTTTACACAAACTTTAGAGACATCTTATTATTAAAAAAAATAATGGAGATGATTTTTTCCCATCTATCCACTAATAGAGTGAGTAAATTTCAAGTCAATAAAAGTTAGTCATCTGTCCATTTCAAGATTTGTTTGATTCTCATCGAAAGAATACGAAATTCATCAAATTTTCATATTGCTAAACTCACTTTCCACGGCTGAACAACTGCAACCAATGCATTATTTCATATAAACACTAATCAAGAAATCAAGAAAAGAGTAAGAGTAAAGAAGCATCAAAACTTCATCACAAGTGTTTCTTTGTGCTTCCAAATGCAGCAATCCATACAAAGTATATGAGCTCCAAATGCACCAATTTAATTTTAGTCTAAATAAATCATAAATGCATAACCACCAGATCATTTTCATATCACATGAAAGATTGAATATTTTTTTCACTGGTTAAGCAAAATGATTCACTTAAATATACTTTTTTAAAGCAGCACTCTTTTTTTAAGCAATCAGTGGCTCAATGCCACAAATTCATTCCAAGAGCGAAGAAAGAGTGCAAACGAGAACAGATAGGACTCACTTCTTGTGGCGACGGCCCCTCTTGGGACCCCAGCCTTCGAGCTTGGCAATGGGGCATCCACATTTAGCCCGGAAAAGTAGTACAGCCCGGCCATTGGGTGGCGCCATCTTCCTCAGCTCAGCACGAAGGCACTCGTAATCCAAGTTAGTTTCGCTGCCACCTTTCCACGGCAGCTCATTGATCTCCCTGACAGCCTTACTCTCATCCCCCAGTTTCAAACACTCCTCTTCCTGGACCTGCAAGTCAAACTCCATAGCTTTCCGGAGCCCCTTGCAGCCAGATTTGCCGCATTTCCTGGATCTGTTGCCGCAGCAGATCTCGTAAGCAGCAGCAACCGCAACGAAGATGGCGAAGAAGAAGGTGCATAGGACGTAATGGATTTGAACATCGAAGGAGCTGAGGTAGGAGAGCAGGGAGGAGACGGAGAAGGAGGGGGCGAGGAGGGAGAGGGAATGGAAGATGTAGGAGAAGTAGGAGGAGATCAGGAAGGCTCCGGAGAAGAGGACGAGAATGAGGATGAGAATGTCGAGCGTGGCGGAAGGAGAGTGCTTGCAGGGGTGGTGGACCGCGGCGGAGGCGGCGGAGGAAGGGCAATTGTGTGAGGAGTTCACATTAGGGTTTGCGCGGACAGAGGGTGAGGGTTTTCTGAGGGGTTTAGAGAGAGAAATTGAAGAAGGTGCCATGGCTATGGAGGAGGAGAGGAGCGGATGGCGCATGTTAGTGAGAGAGCGGCGTTTGGTTCCCGGAGGAGGGCGGCGGTGGGAGGAGGAGGAGGGCAATATCCGCTTCTCTTTCGCCGGGGTAAAGCATGTCCTATTCGAAGTGTTGGTGCGCACGTCAGCAGAACGGTAAAAATAGGACTTCCACCCTGGCGCACTTTAACCCTCATCCGTTACGCTTTGGGGAACAAACTACAAAAAGCAAAATAGACCATGCTTTCATTATTTCTTCTTTCTTCTAAAAAATTGAAACCACACCAATACAAATTTTATATTATTAAAAATATATTAAATCAAACCAAGAAAAAAATTATGAGACAAATAGAGTAGATACAAAGTACTCTGTAAATAAATAAATATTGTAACTATAAACAAATAGTTAATTTGGTCTTTAATTAGATGTTTGACGAACTATTTTCTATGACGAGAAAGAGAACTAATTAGCTAAATTTCATTGGATATCATATGATAGAACATAGAATGATTTGAAGAAGTTTGGGGACTGGGTTTCTGAAGTATTCATGCTTTTAATGTTGTCATCCTCGAGAAACTGAAAGATTGAATAATTTCCAATAATTATAATGTGTATAATACAAGATATATATATACTAGGAGATTCCTAGTTATGTTAGGAAACATATAATTAAGGTAACCTATACACATGGTAACTAGAATATACAATAATAACTACACAATATATTAAATATAGAAACACTATATTTAACATGCTCCCAACGGCACTGGTAACGACTTCCGGATTCCCAGGCTGTCACGGAACTCTGTGAAGATCATGGTTGGGAGCCCCTTTGTAAAAATGTCTGCATACTGCAACGAGGAAGGAACATGGAGAACTCGTATGTGTCCGAGAGCCACCTTATCTCGGACAAAGTGTATATCAACCTCAATGTGTTTAGTGCGCTGGTGTTTGACAGGATTGGCTGAAAGGTAGATGGCACTGACATTGTCACAGAACACCAGGGTGGACCGGCTGAGAGGTTGCTGGAGTTCCTGAAGTAAGTTAAGCACCCAGCTGACTTCCGCGACTGCATTCGCTATGGCCCTGTACTCCGCTTCGGCACTGGATCGTGACGTGGTTTGCTGACGCTTGGTGGACCAGGAGATGAGATTGTCACCGAGAAAAATGCAGTAACCGGTGGTGGATCGGCGAGTATCGGGACAGCCGGCCCAGTCAGCATCCGAGTAGGACCGCATAAAGTCTGTGGGGGATGGAGAGATGGAAATACCGTGGGAGGGTGTCCCATGAAGATAGCGCAGCACCCGTTTCATTGCTGTGACATGTGGGAGGCGTGGATCATGAAGAAAGAGACACAGCTGCTGGACGGCATATGTGATGTCAGGACGGGTGAAGGTAAGATACTGTAGTGCCCCTACAATGGACCTGTACAAAGTAGGATCTGGTGCTGGTGGACCTGCGGAGGCCGAAATTTTCCCACGAGTGTCAACGGGGGTAGATGCAGATTTGCACGAAACCATACCGGCGCGCTCAAGAATGTCGTAGAGGAACTGAGTTTGTGTGAGAAATAACCCATGAGACGTGCGCTGGACATTGATCCCCAGAAAAAAATGAAGATCCCCCATATCTGTCATAGCAAACTCGCCCTTCAGTCGCTGAATGATAGACTGAAGAAGTGTCTGGGTGGAGGCTGTGAGTATGATGTCATCTACATATAGAAGCAAGAACGCCATCTGTGAGCCTTGCCCATAAGTGAACAAGGAGGTATCGCTCTTGCACCCGCGAAATCCAAGAGAGAGAAGGAAACCCGTGAAACGCTGGTACCAGGACCGCGGTGCTTGTTTCAGCCCATAGAGCGCCTTATTCAGTTTGCAGACATAGTGAGGACGATCAGGATCCTGAAACCCAGATGGTTGAGCTGTGTAGACAGTCTCTGTGAGAGATCCATGAAGAAAGGCGTTCTTGACATCTAGTTGGTGAATCCGCCACCCGCGAGAGACTGCCAGACTGAGGATAATGCGTATGGTTGCGGGCTTAACCACCGGGCTAAAAGTCTCATCATAATCAATGACATGGCGCTGATTGAACCCACGAACAACCCAACGTGCCTTATACCTGGACAGTTCACCTGTGGGGCTAAGCTTGTGTCGGAAGAGCCATTTTCCAGAGATAATGTTTTGGTTGGGGGAGGGGGGTACTAAATCCCATGTATTATTAGCAATCAAAGCATTATATTCATCATTCATAGCATTGTACCAGTTTGGATCTTTGAGTGCACTACGGTATGTGGGGGGGATAGGGGAGACCTCGGCAACGGTGTTGAGGTTGAGGATTTGTTTGGGGCAAAAGACACCGGCTTTTGCACGGGTGATCATGGGGTGTGT